TAGTCTTAAAGAAAAGCAGGATTTGGGCACAAGAAGGCTGGGGCATAGACTGGGCTAAGGGCTGGTCCAAGGAATGGACAGCCCTTCGGTTTGACTGGACAGTCCTGCACACACAATGAGGCCTGGCAGACGGCAGGCTGGATATGGAGGGGCAAGAAGGCACAGCACCACTAGTAGCTGACATGCACTGAGTGCTTATGATGTGCCATGAATAGCTTCACGTACTTCTGAGGGTTTAACTCAGTTAATCCACAACACTGAGGTAAGGACTATGTAGTCCCAATCTTATAGATGAAGACATCAAGACATAGAGAACAAAGCAACTTGACCACAAGTCATAAAATCAGTAAAGAGCAGTTAGGATGTGAAATCAAGCTCTAAAGTCTGTGCTCCTAACCATCTAACCCAACTGGCTCTCAGGACAGCTTGGGGGTGAAGAGGCACAGGCTCCAGTCAACCCTTCATTGTGACAATGAAGTGAGGCATTGTTTGCAGACAGTTTGCAACCTGTACCTCCAAGGCCACAAATGCTGGCTCCACGCTGCTGTTACCATATACAACGGACCTGCTAGCAGCTGAAGCAGGAAAGACAGATCAGGACTGGAAATGGGGCCCTGGGTGAGAGGGGTAGTGTGAAGAGTGGAGGCCAGGACACCTGTCTTTAGGGTGTGCAGGAAGAGAATGAAGCAAGCATCTTGAAACAAAGGCTACGGGAGGAGGGGAATGCAAAGAAGAGGAAAAGACAGGCAGAATAAAAGCAGCAAAGATGTCAAGAACAACCATTCTGGACAAACAGGCTCCTGGAATTCAACACTTAAAGTTTTTGGAGATCTTTGAGAGGAAATATAAAGAAGAGTGGTAGAGAGAGAAGCCAGAGGGCAAGAGCTAAGGATGGAGTAGAGAGTGCAGGGGTGAATGCTCATAGCCTTATAAGAGGCTGCCAGGCAGAGAAGGGAGACTCAGGTACCATATGTAGACTCATGAATGCTGCCTGCTACACACAGGCCCACAACAGGTCTGTTTTTCTCCTTTCCATCCTTCCTCTCCTAATCAAGGCAAAGGCTTTTCTGGGTTTGGTGAGGAGGTTGACAACAAAAAGCATGAAGGGTATTCAGATGGCAGGACCCTGGCAGTGATGGGAGGGCATGGCAGCAGGCACTGAGGGAGGGCTTCCTCTGTACCAGACATTTTACAAGCATCATCATCCTTGATCCTCACAGACTCCATGGGGCAGGCACATCTTTATACTACAGAGGAGGAGCCTGCGGTCAGAGGAGTCAAGCACTTGTCCAGGGCCACACAGCCAGAACCCAAGTCCCAGATCCTACAGAGTTCAGGCTCCTGCCCAAAGTGAGGGTCCAAGAAAAGGGAACAGAGAAGAGATTCACCTGCTTTTTCTGAACTGGGAGGAGAAGAGGAGACATGGGGAGATGAGACAGGACATTTTGAGCAGAAAGGAAGAGGTGAGATGCTGAGGGAGCTAAGCAGTCAGAGCAATAGTTTCAAGAGAAAAGGAGGAGGAAAGCCAGGGTGGATGTTTGGGGTAAGTCCAGGTTTTGCGATAATGTAGCAATGAGGAAAGACAGGGCTGTAGAGAAGAGTGACATGCTTGCGTTTCTGCATCCTAACTAAACATCAGGGTCTAGAAAGGGTTTTTCAGGGAAGGTACACACTTCCCTGAAAGTGTCTGCCATGACGATGCTTTAAGCACTACCTGTAACTGTAACATCGTATGAGCAGAATTTCTTTCTTTAATACTGACTTTCTGCCACCACAGAGAGTGTTGATGATAGGATCACAAATAGAAGAAAGGCAGCAACAGAAGGAAGGCAACTCTTAGCCAAAGAGAGGTAGTAAATATTTAATTTTTACACATTCTTAGCATTTTTGTTGAAGCGAAGTCTTTCTACAGTGATAGTCCACCATTTGGTGTATAAATTGCATAGAATTGGGGGTATGGAGGGATAAATATGAAAGCACAGCCACTTCCTTTTCCTCCCTGTGGTAGGCAAAAACCTCTTCTGCAAATAGCAGGCCAACTCCTGAGTAGTCATCATTTTATAAATCATTTGAAATGAATGCTTTAAAACCCCATATGTTGATCTGCTTAAGTTTCCTATGAAAACAGGACTTCAGCTTAGATGTTCTGCAGGTTCCAGCAGATAAATACCAAACTGAATTCAAATGTATTAAATATTTAGAGGCACACAGAACTTTAGAACACACATAACCTTTGAGATTACCTAGTTCAACTGTTCCACTTTCCTTCTCAGGCAAATAGAACCCAGAAAGATTCAATGCGGTGTCCCAGGTGGCACAGTCACAAAAGCCCAAGTGTGGGCTAGAACCAGGATTTTCTCTCAGGCTAGTGCTCTTCACACCTGCTTCTCTCTCTCTCTCTCCCTTTTTTTTAAACATTAGGGGTTGAACTAAGGTACAAATTTAACTATATTTTAAATTTATTATGATGATGATTATTCACTGGCTATATTTACAATCAAAACCAAAATACCTCTACCAATCCAGCTTCAGATGATACAGGCAATTTCAAATGCTGCCCAGGAAATTTTAAGTCCTTCTAAATATGTTCAACACATTTTAAAGTGAACTTGGTAACAAAGCATGGATTGAAAGATTCAGTTTTGTGTTTTAAATAATATTTTGGGGTTTCATTGATATAGAAATAAAATTTAACAGCAGTGTTTTTTTTTTTTTTTTAAGTCTTGCAAGCATGGAAAGCAAGAGATTATTCAAAACTGCTCAGGAGAAGCAATGATTATTTTAAGCTCATGATTCACCAGCACATTAATTAAAAACTCCACCAACCAAAATTGACAGATTCTTATATCAATGAGACCATAAGAATTAAAATAATAGTTGTCATATAAAAATAGATTAAAGGGGGGAACAGCAGCAGATGTCAGACGGACAAATGACAAGCAAGTGTTGCGGGAAATGAGATGTACCTAATGGGCAGCCTCAGTGGATTTTTTTTAAAGGTCCGGGAAATACAGGTACAGCTAAGAAATGCCAAATCTTATTTCTGGAAAGTAAGTGATAAAACTTGGCTAATGCTGTGCTGAGGGTTAACTACGTTAGCGGGGAGAAGAGACCGCAAGCGCCCAAGTGCCAAAACGAAGCTAAGTGACCGGGAAGGGGCCAAGGAGTGGAGGGAAAAGGGAATAGAGAATTTGGGGCGAAGAGTGAACTGTCTGCCTGATCCTCCACTGGCCAGCACAAACTTGACAACGGACGCCAAAATCGAGGGCAACCCTTCCTTCCCCAACGCCTGCCCCCAGCACCCGAGGCCAGCTCGAGAACCCTCAGGGTGACTGACTTGCGCCTCACAAGCTCGGCATTAATTTCTATTCTTCCACTTATTCCTCTGAGCAAAGGCCAGCTCTCTCAGCTGTTAACTCCCGGTAATCGCGAGCGGGTGTCTTTTTCTTTTCTGACATCTGTCAAACCCAGTGCTAGAGCCAACCTTGCTGCGCCCTCGCAGGGCGCCAGGGCTCCAGGGCTCTAGGGAGGACGGCGGGACCACAACTGCGCGCCGGCACATCCCCGCGCCGTCGGGCACCTGCTCGCAGACAAACGGGGGATCCTTCCAGGGCTGCTTAGAACCCAGACGGCGCAGGCCGGACCAAAATTCGCAGGCTGGGGTCATCCCCATCTCGGGCCGGGGATTCCCGGGTGCAGCGCCAGACCCCGCGACAGGGCCGAAGGGGAGGGCAGGCTCGGACTCCCCAAGCCCGACGGAGACGCCCTCCCCGCCCCCACCCAGCCCCGCAGGCTCCCGAAAGGGAAGTGGAGAAGTGGGGGAGGAACGGCAGAAGTGGCATAGCTCGCCCAACGCCCTTGGGGAGCAGCTGTCAAGGATGGGACCCCTCGGGGATCCCCGCAGGTCCCGGGGACATATCCTAGAGCTAGCCCTGAGACGGGTCATTGCTCCCGAAGGGTGGAGCTGTCCCTTTAAGAGGCAGCTGGCTGCTTCTAACCCCGTCAGGTAGCGATGCCCGCCGAGGGGAGATGGGTACTCCCGCGGACACTTTCTCGGGCCCTTTAAGGGCGCCGGCGGCACCTCTGCCCGCCCTACCCTGCAGCGCCAACCCCCCCGAGGAAGGATGGGGGCGGACGGGCGCGGCGCCTTTAAGGGGCGCAGCCTCCCCACGGCCCGGGTGGGGGCAGGGAGAGGGCACGGGCCCTTTAAGGCCGGCAGCGGGCACGTCGGGCAGGGTTCCTCGGCTGCCAGGCTGCGCCCCGGGCGGCGGAGGGCACCGCGCCTGCCAGGGTGCTAACATCCCCCGACGGGGTGGCCGGGGCTGCGCCGCTGGCTGCGGCCAGCCCGACACTCACCGTGGCTCGCCGGGAGCACCCGCGCCCGCGCCCGCACTCAGATCCCGCGGCGGCGGCGGCGGAGAGTCCGGCGCGGGTAAACAGGCACCTCCGTCCCTGACCTACTTTCTGCCTTCCCTAAATGTCGCACCACTAACCTACTTTCCGACCAATCCGCTCCCCGCCGGCCCAGGCCCGGCCCCCCGCCCACCAATCGCTGTGCCCAACCCCCCTTCCCCGCCCACCAATGGAGGAGCCGCGGAGCCCGGATACCTGCCTCTTCCCGCCAGCCAATCCATGTGCCCGAAGGGAGCCGGTCTCGGCCGTCGCTTCAGACCAATCCGCACACGGCTTGGCGCCCTGCTGGCCAGTTGTGAGACGTCTGGAGAGGCCGCTGACCAATAGCAAGGCGGTAGGGGCCGGTTTACCTGCTATTTTCCCGCCACCAATCGTTTGACTCACAGAAGCGCACGCCCCAAGAAGAGAACCAATCCACGCGCTTTCCCTTGATTTTCTCGCCTCTGCCCTCTCTTTTTCCCCTCAGGTCTCCGGTTCGCGGTGGCCACTGCGGTTGTGGGTGCTGCACTCTTCCTCGTAGCCTGGGATGTCTCTCTTCTTTGGGTCCCTGGCTTCCGTTTGGCTCACCGGTCTCGCCCCTGTTCTTTCCACTTCTTCACTCGGGGCACGCTAACTAAAAACAGCATTTCCTCACTCGCCTCCCTCCAACTCCATCTAGGAAACCAATTTTAGGAACACCGAGTGCCAGACCCTTCTTCCTAAAACACCCTAGTTTGGCAAAGTCCAAACGAGAGAACGAATACTTAGTATTTCTAGAAGGCTTTTCCATCCTAGTATTCTTAACGTTCTTTCGTTCGTCCTGACCTCCAAGCGTCACGTTGGAGCTGTCATTCTCGCTGTTCAAAAGAGAACGCTCAAGCCTGGAGGGACTCCATTGCTTTTCCTTCCGCTGACTGGGTTTCGACCACCTACTGTGTGGCAGACACTGTCCCAGGGGGCCCGGTCTCTACTCCAAAAGCTGTCCAGACAGAAGAAAACAAATAGTTACAGAAAATAAACATTTCATAACAAGATACTATTGGGTTATTTAGAGGACAGAAAAATTTTTATTTTTGCAACTCAAAGCACTTAGCAGAGGGCCTTTAGCTCAAAGGACTCCCATACCTTTTAGATGTTAAACCCTTCTAGATGTTAAACTCCGTGAATACCAGGACGGGTGTCTTCTGTTCTGTTATACTAGCCCGCTTTCCTTTAACGCCTAAGGAGTGGAGGTAGAGAGGTCACCTAGCAATTGTTCTGTAAATGTTTGATGACTACATATGTGAAGAAATGGAACTAAATCACTGCGCTGAGTTCTGTGATCCAGAATAGCCCCTATGACTAGAATTCTAGCCTTGTTCCTTGAACACAGACCCTGCATTGTAATCGTTGTAAAACCGTTGTGGGTCCCCAGCCCATTGCCAGACACCGAGTGGGTTGCCCAAGTGTGCTTGTGGCATGAATGATGGACCTTTTTTGAAGTCAGCCCATTTCCTTGGTAGCTAACTACTTTTTTAAAGTTTACATGCATGTGGTATCATTTCTCTTTGCTTTGTCTCTGCCCTTATTTCACGGAGACCCCTCTCTGTAAGTGAGATTTCAGCAAAACACTTGACAAGATATTGTGGCCAATATGAAGAAATATGAGCCTAGATTTTAGTGTAGTTAATTGGACTGGTTAAGTAACCATAACCTAAAGATGCTGATTAATGAACCCATGTAGACCTGAAGGAAGGGTGGGTGGAATTAACATTTGTACAGTGTCTACTATATGCTAAATACCCTGTGTCTTCTCCCTTAATTCTCCCTACCCCATTTTACAGGTCAGGAAACTGAAGCAGAGATTAACTACCTGGTCCAAGGTCACACATTAGGATGCAGAGCCATAATTCAAACCAGGCTTTTTTGACTTCAAAAGTTTCATACTGTACCAGTTACTATCAGGACGACAGAAGGCTCTCTCCAGGACCCAGACTTCAGGGCTTTTATCAGTGCTCTGACTGAAAACCCAGAAGATTTGCATCACATTTCCAGATGACACATGCCAGGAGAAGAAGCACTGTTACCTAACATAAGGCAAAAGCTACATTGGAGCAATGGGCTGGCTCTAACAGGGATCAGTGTGGGGGTCCCACCCCGGGAAACCAATTACTGACAGGCAGGCTGGAGCCAAATGTATCTTAACAAATTCATATAGGAGCAAAACTAAAGGGTCTTAGGTGACAGAGAACTCCATCTGAGTCTTCAGTGATGTGTGGCTGCCAAAAGGAGTAAGTGCTGTCTTAGGCTGCCTCCATAGAAGTCTGATACAAAGCAAGGTGGGTGTTATGGTGCTGCTCAATGCTGGTCATTATGCACTTCGAGTACTGTTTCCAACCAAGGTTTGGCAAAGAAAAATTATCTACATGCCCAAGGAGAGGGACCAGGATGTAAAGAGACTGGGAACTGTGTCATATGAAGGAAGATTAAAGAGAGCAGAAGGTTTTGCCCTGGGGGGGGGAGGTACGAGCTAAGCTGTCTTCATATATTTGAAGAGCTGTCATATAGAAGAGGAATTAGACTTGTTCTTCAGGGTTCTAAGGGGTAGGAGGGGGACCCATGGGTAGACAGTCTAGAATGAAATAATATGAAGTGTTTTCTAACAATTAGAGCCTCCTTTGCCTTGATAAGTTGAGTTTCTTGTCACAGAAAGTGTTCCAGTAAGAACTGGATGCCATGTGGCGGGAGGGGGGCTGGAATAGGTGTCCTTTTAGGACTCTGTCCCCTGAGATGATGTGTTCTACCCTCATACCTTGGTTTTCCTCTTTTAAAGTTTATCACCCTGACTCTTCCTACCCTTAGTGGCCAAGCTACTGTTTCTTCTCACGTCAGTCTGTTCTTCCCCATGGCATTATATTTTCCCTGTTGGAGATCCCAACAACCTCCATCTTCCACCGTACTGACTTCTCTTTTATTTTTTACCTTCCAGAATACTGAAGTTTTAATTATCAGCTGTTAAAGTGAAAATATATCCTCAACCTAAAATTCCCTGGACATAAATAGAATCACTTAGATAAAAGGGAGGGAAAAGAAAACATTTATTGAACACCTACCATGTGTCAGGTGCATTAAATACATTATTTAATATAATCCTCACATTAATCTCAACAGGTAAGATGTTCACTCTCCATACTTGCTAGCTGAATGACTTTTATCCTCTAATTTAACCGCTTTGTACTTCTGTTTCCTCATCTGTCATATGGGGATAATATAGTATCTCCTTCACAGGATTTTTGTGAGAGTTAAATGAGATAGATAATAAATAGGAAGCCCTTAGCACAGTGCCTGGTGCATAGCAAAAATTCAATATATATTAGGTTAGCAAGTCTATGAAATAGATATTTACTGTTCCCATTTTATAGATAAAGTTTGGATAAAGTAGTGTGAACCACAGTAGTTCCCCAAACTCTGATCCAATGATCAGGTCCATTAGAATTAACTGAGGAGTTTTAAAAAATACAGATTCCCATGTCCTAATCTGGAAGATTCTGATTCAGTATCATCTTTGGGATCTGAGATACAATCAAATTTGGGAACTGCTGGTTTACTGGAATAAGCACAGGCTCTGAAGTCAAACAGAACTGAAGTCAAATTCCAGGAGGCTGGGTTGAATGGAGAAGCCAGTGGCAGGACCAGGAAGTTGTGCCATGTGCTCTCTCTGGAAGGAAGTTGAAAAGTCCTGAGATGGCCATGTTAAAGTTCTTGTGGCCAAATAGAAATGTGTTGCTAAAAATAATAGTAATAACAACAACAGTATTTACCACAGGTTCATGTGTCAAGCACTGTTCTAAGAGCTTTATGTGCATCACCTCATTCAATGCTCACCAATTCCTGCAAGGTAGGTACTTCTACTCCCATTTTACAGATGCAGACACTGAAGCACAGAGAGCTCCTGAAATCTCAGGCTACTTAGGCAGTCTGACCCCAGAGCTCACACTCTCAACTATTTCCGTAAATCATCTCTTGCTTTGGACAATTCCTTTGGAAAACAAAGAAACTTCATATTCAAGAGACATAGATTCAGGAGTCATCAATTCAAAGGTGTTGAGTATTATTCAAAAATAATTCTTCAACTGATTGGGATTTCATGGAGAGAAAAGGAGAATACCCAGGAGTGTGCTTCAGGGATAGAGGTGTGGTCTCACACTTAGAGAATGGAAGACACAGAAGTCTCTTGAATTAACTGAAGCCCAAAGTTGGGGGGTTTATTTGGGAGGAGGCAAGGGTATCTCATGGAACCCTAGAGGAAGAAGCACAGCAAGTCCTCACAATGGACAAGAGCTGAGGTCTCATTAGGCATGAAGCAGCTCCCATCTCCTCCTCTCTCTGGGGTCTTGTGGCCTCCGGACTCATCTTATGTCTACCTATGTGCTTTATGATGCTCTTTCTCTGTAGCTCTTCAGCTTGCACCCCATTTGTATATGACCCTTCATGAATGCTCTCAACTGCTGAGAGGGAGAAGGAGGAGAAGAGAGGGAACAGCAGAGTTTCAGACAGGCAGTTCTTAAAGTGGGGGCATGGCTGAGCAAGATTCCCCAGAAGGTGTGTACTGAAGTGAAAGAAGAATCAGAACAAGAAAAACACAGAGAATAAGAGCGAAAGAAGGGAAAGGCCAGATTTGGGAAACTTTGGGAGAAAGTCTCAACAGACAGGTTTAGACATAAGAAAAGGGAACCTTACGCTTGGGAAAAAGGTTTTGGCTAGAACAACAAAGAGATGTGACTATAACAAAGCTGTTTTACTAACACTGCTTCTAGAGCCAGAAGACCTACTGTAGATACTGGGGAGATGAGGGACACAAATGAGCAAAGACTACATGGCGCCAGAGAGTATAAATCACCTTTTGAAGACATTTGTTGTTTAAGGGAAAATCAGAAAAAGAAGTATAGCTACCTCTTAGCAGCCAACCCACTGAAAGTGGTTTATGTTTATTTGTGTATGTGCGTTTTGACTTTTTAACCCAAGTTGACACATCTGCACATACAAAAATGGGAATTTTAAAAAATCAGGCATCAAAGGGTTAACCAGTTTATAACTCTTTCATCTGTGTTTTAAAAGACGTTCCTTGATT